GTCTTGAGAAGCACAAGAGCGGTTCGCTTACGTTTGCATCGTCTTTTCGATTGAAGCGGCTGCTGCTCGAAGCTACCCAGGACTGTGGACGACTAAGGACATCGAAAACCAAGGTTTCGGTATTGCATGCTGATTGGCAAGTGCATACCACTAAGGATAATGATGGACCTAAGGTACATGAAGGATTGGCATGCGCAGCTTGGTCATCGCTTTATTGTACAACTAAAGCCCAGCTAACGCTGAGGCCGGGTCCTAGTCCCGTGGTAGCAGCTGAGAGTAGAAGAGCGATGGCGACCTACGAAGAGCAGTTGGCCGAGTTTTGGGGCCGCCAGCTCTGGGCGGCCGTCATTTCTCACGAGTCGATAGGCTTCCAAGAGTCGATTGACGAAGGAGAGTTGCGAGCACTTTTCCAGTACATGCCGGTGCAAGTGGCTTCTCACAACTGCTTTGAAACGGATCGATATCCAGGACTCAACCGAGTGGCAGCACTGACGCAGTCTGGCATGTCGCAGCTAAAGCCCGATGAAAATCGAGGCCGAAAGCGAGTGCTCATCCTTCTCTCCGACTCCACGACCGTTTTCGTCGCTGGCAAGAGAACGAGGACAGACCTTTCCTCGGATTTGAAGGCAGCGAGCTCGGGGGTCTATCTGCAGTACAGGGAGATAATTTATGAACCCCTGTGGGGCAAAACATTGTCTGAACTGCGGGAGAGGGCCCAGATCCTCTGTGACCAGACGGCTATGCGCTACTCTGGTGACCCAGAGCTGCTGGTGGACGTGCAGATTGTCTGGATGGCGAATGAGATCGTCGGCAGATATGGCATTTTCTGCAGCCCTGGCGTTCCGACGTGGTGGGACAATCAATCGCCCATAGAAGCCCGCGGAGACTGGCAGAAGATCTGTCGGAGAGTATGCCAGAACCTTGAAGCGCTTGCAGACCTGCAGCGCCGTTCTCCATATGTGGGTTCTATTGTGATCTGCACAGGGATTCGCAGCTTCGTCTACGGGTTGCCAAAGCAGTTTGATGAATGCATTGCGCGATTCAAGGACGAAGCGGTCCGTAGAGGACTCGCCGCCTGTGACATCCACCCCTTTCTTGGAGATCTGGCACTCTACAACGACAATGTCCACTTCCGCGAGGACTCCGAGTCTCGTCGTCGCATGGTATCCGGACTGGCGCATATTATGCAAATTCAGATTGCTGAAAGGTATGCTGCCAAGGCCATCGCCAAGATGGGAGAGGATGCTTTCAAGACGTTGCTTGCCGAGAACTACTTTGATTCTCGAGGCCGATATGCTGTGGACAATCAGGTCCTTCAGATTACATTGTCAAGAATGTCCCGGAGCAAGCAGGTGAAGGCGGAACCGACAGAGGAAGACCCTTGGGATGATGCGTATTGGGAGGAGAAGCGTGACGAAAGTCACGCCGAACTGCCTGCGCCTGAGGTTCCCGACTTCCTCAAGGAGATGAAGATCCAGAATGTCGTCAGCGTCGCACCTGGTGTTTTCGCGACAGAAGCTGAGATCAATTCGCCGGATTGGAACAAAGCCCCACCTAAGGTGGAGGCCGTTACCCCGGCGAGTACAGCAGCTTCGTCCTCAGGTGACATTCGACCTATGCCGATGGATGCATCCATTTATGGTGGTAGTATCCTGTCTGGCGAATCCGGCACTGAACATGCTGCCAAGAAAGCCCGCCTCGCAAAGGCTGTGGCTGACCAGAAGCGGCTGACCAAGATTGCAGTGCAGGGATCGCGCGGAATGAGGTTCATCAATGACACCTACGACCCCGCTGAAATGCTCGGCATCAAGTTGTTCGATTACTGGAATGAATGCCCCTCGAGAGAGGAGGCCGCCCAGTATATCGAAGTGTTCCAGAAGGACATGACCCCTGGCTTGCATTATCCCCAGTGCCCTCACAAGATGGTCACGTTTGTCACGGGATTGATCAGGGGCAACTTCGAGAACAAAGGCGAGCAATTCAAGATGCACTCATGGGACGGACCGTGGGTCCTAGCCATGGAAGTACTTGAGGTGGCGAACAGGTGCAGGCCTGGAAGCGACGTTGGTTTAGGAATTCTCCTCGACATGATCGCCACCGACAACAAACAGCGTCTTATGTTTCGCGGGCCAATGGATACTGCTGCCGATGCGATTGGCCAACCAGCCTTTCCGGTGTACGTCGGGTGCACGCAGGGCCACTCCAGCAATCTGCAGATTGACAATGCCTCCATTGCGAAGGCTTATCTGACTCTGCAGCGCACTGAGGAGATGGTTGATGCCGCCCGAGAGGGCAGGCCGTTGATCCCGATCGACAAGGCGCCTCCCAGACTTTATCATCGAACGACCCATGATGCGGCGTTCGCGATTCTGGAAGATCGTTTGTTGCCTGGATTCGGAGGTTCTGAGAAGGCGCATTGTTACTTTGCGCCGCTGCCGCTTGAAGAGCAAAAGGTACGCTCAGGACTCCGAGCAAGTGCTCCGATTGAAATCGTCTTCGATACCCGGGAAGTCCTCGAAGCTGGCTGCGACTTGTTCCTTACAGAGTCTGATGGCCTGCTATGCTCTGAGGCAGTACCTGGTTCGACCATTTTGTTCATCAATGATACGCTAAAGGACGTCACACTTTGGTCTCGCACAGGAGGCACGGTTCCCCCTGATGAGGCAGAGCAAGGTGAAAGCCCAGCTAACGCTGAGGCCGACGTTGCCATTATCTTTGATGAGCCAGAGGTCGAGGAGACGGTTCAGGACAATTTCGCACCGCCTATTGATGAAGAGTTTGGTACCCTTCCAGCTGAGGAAACAACCTTGCCGCCCATTCCTGATGTTGCTGAGGTACTTGAAGGTTCGTTGGCAATCACAGATGCCCCTGCAGAGACTGATAATGCGGAAGCACCTGGTAATGAGCAATAATGCCCTCCGTAGAGGAGAGGCCGCTTGTTGAGCCGGGAACCATCATTGCCCAACCGGGACCACCAATTCGAACCATGTACATTGGTGATGGAATTGCGACAAAGGTTACACTGAATGCTGAGGGTGTACCCGTCGAAGCAGTCCAGGAGCCGGTGGGAAGGCCAGAACCCGTGCTTTATGCTGGGAGTGAGGCCAAGCCAAACGCCGCGTTCTTGGAAAAGATCAAATGCTACCACTGCAAGGCCGAGTGTCTTCAGGGCCAAAGGATTTGCTCCCAGTGTGGTGGGCCAGTTCGACCAGGCCAACTGAAGGCACAGGGCAGAAGGACGCTGTTGGCACGAGGGCGTGAAGCTCTGCTTCAGGAGATGGGTGATGCTGCCGAGCGAGTGGGGGCAAAGCCAGACCTTCAAAGCGCATCGAAAGATGTCGCCGGTCGTGGCATGAACTCACTTGAAGGCGAAGTGATTCGAAAGGCCAAAGTGGCAAAGCAGAGAGCCGTGAAGAAGGGCTATACTGACTGCGTGGCGAGGTTCAATCAAGACAATGAATACGCGATCAGTATGACCAAGGAGGGATGCACACGCAGAACGACTCGAGTCCTCGACTGCCTCTGCTACGCCTACCTGCCAAACCCCGGACGCTCTCGATCCCAAAGGATGCTGGCTATTGGATCCTCCAGAACTGCGTCAACTACGCATGAGGCTCACACAGATGCGGTCCCAGAGTGCCGTATTGTTTTCTTTACTGGAGACGACGGCATTGGCGGCAAGTTATGCGCAGCGGGACTAACGTCCACGCCGGAGGATACGCCAGTAGCGTTCACGTGGTACGGAGCCATCCTTTCCTTTCAGGATTTCGCTTTCAATATCGCCAAGCAGAAGGAAGGAATCCGTCTTCAAACTTTTGGCCATAGCAAGGTGGACCTCCTGAACAATGATCCTGGTGCAGTCGGCACTGATCTACAGACCATTTTGGCTAAGGATCTGCACTACATGGTGGAAACGGTTGAGGAGACCACTAAGAAGGCCCAGCAGAGTCGCGCAGCCCAGCCAAAGTATGCCCAGCAGCATCCGCCAGGTGGTGGCAAGGGCTCAACATACGCCCGTGCTTCGGAAGCGAAGGGAAAAGGCAAAAGCCCGGCTAACGCCGAGGCCGCCAATCGCGCAGCTCGCGACTGGGACTGGGATGATCAATCCTGGTGGCAAAGTTGGTCATCGTCGTCCTGGGGATCATGGCGCGGTCAGAACTGGGACAACCAGGACTGGCGTGAGTGGCGCAATCGTGGATGGCGTTGGAACTGATATGCCGACCCAGTAGTCTGATTCTTTCGAGTAAGAGGGATGTTCACCCGGCCTGTGATATTTTTCAACTGGCTGTGCGGCGAACTCCTATTGTCCTTACTCCGCGCTGAAACAGCGTCTCGCATTTGAAGAAAAGCTTGCATGCAGTTTTCGCACCCTTCCTCGAGGCACTTGGCAGTCACATGTACTTTTGCTGAAACAATCTGATGACGCGGGAGGCAATTCCACGCCGATCGTCAAACTCCGAGCCGAAGCGCTCTTCCACCTGCAGGCGAAGGTATCCTGTATTTTTGAATGCGGTGACCGTGCCTTTAGGTGAGGGGGGTGTAGTTTTGCATCGCAGCTTGCGTAGGAGTTTGTATGGTCGTGTAATTACAGTCATCATGTTGTGTATCATATACTGTGACTTTGTGCCCAAGCCCTCTGAGTAAAAGGTAGTGCTACCGCTCATGGCTTAACGGTTTTGGTGTATTCTATAGGCTGTTGGGGGTTAAAGTATGAAAACCTAGACCCTAAAGCCCAAACCTTGCAACTCACGAAACCTCCGGTTAGGGCTCAGGGCTCAGGGGTTTACGGTCTCCCTAACCCAGAGACTCCAATATCCCGTAATAAAGGAATATACTTGAAATCATATTCGGGATCCTGCTAGAATTTTACAGAATATTCCTTAAATCTTATAAGGGATCATCATATAGAGGATCCTACGATAATTTAAGGAGTATTCCCTAAATAAGTGATATTGAAAGTCTCTGGGAAGTCTAAACCCGACCCTGCGAGACCTGCTGAGGTCCACAGTCGTGGTGATACAGGATAGCCAGGCAGGGAGGAGAGACCAAGAGCCTATTTTGATTTAGTAAGGCTTATAGGGTTTAGACCCCTTTGAATAAGTAAGGTTTATGGGGCTTAGACCCCTTTTCATTAAGTAAGGTTTAGGGTTATTTTAAATTAAGTGAGGTTTAGGGCTTAGACCCCTGAAATTATAGGGGGGTGGGGAATATAAGTGTTTAAACGGCATTAAGGAGAGCCCAAGAAATCTTTTGATTCAGGAATAGGGTTTTGGGTTGAGGGCTTAGGGTAGCCCCTGCGATTATAGGGGTCTTGAATATTATGTTAACTCTCGTATTCCACCCTTATTGCAGCCTTAATCCCACCTTAATTCCCGCATTCCACCCGTATTCCTGCCCTAATCCCACCTTAATTCCTAGCAAATAATTTCACCCTTCATCATGCCTTAATTTCCGTGTTCTGCTCTGGTTGCAACCTTTCCCTACCTTAATTTCCTTAATTATTTCACTCTTAACCCTACCTGTATGCTACCTTAATGCCCTGATTCCACCCAACACTGCAATCCCCAAACCCTCACGAGCACCAATCCACACATCAAGTCCTTGACAAAGCATACGCAGCTTTGTGGTATAGGTGCTCGACCTAGATGGTCGTAGCAGTACTGCTGCAAGTGCTTTGTTCACGCAAGGCGGCTGCTTCTACCACACGCCAACTGACCAGTACTTCATGAGTCTGGGCTTCCGAAAATGGGCGGCGCTTGGGTTGGAGCTGAGCAGACGAACAAATGGCCACCAGGACTACCTCATGCTGGAGGCGTCTTCTTCTGACCACCCGTATTGGATATGGCCACCCGTATTGGATGTTCGACGTGGAAATTGTGCTTATTGAAAGTACATATTAAGGCTTAAGGAATGTTGTATACCCAGAGGCTCCATACAGAGACCAAGACCCCTTTTGATTAAGTAAGGTTTAGGGTTTAGACCGGCCTATAGGGGGTGGGGAGTATAAGTGCTTAAGGTATATTAATGTTCCTTAACTATGAATAGACTTTAATGAGCCCAACACCCCTGAGTCTAAGAATATTAGAGGAATATGCCATAAATCCACAGGGCTTAAGGGATATATGTTAAACCATAACATGGTGAACATAACTGTTAAACATGATACGAAGGGCCCTATCATCTAAGAAATCTTCACTTGGGGTTCTTCTGGTTGGCTCTTAGGACTTTGACTTTTTGGTTTTCTATATGAACTATGAATAAGGAGGCTAAAAGTTTAACATTTAGGAGGGGTTCAGAAGTCAGCCAAGTTTATAAGGGTCCATGTACCCATGTAGAGATACATGAGCCCCAAAGTACCTATATAGGGACTACATTAAGGCCAATGTATATACTATATGAGTACATGGACCCTTAAACTATAGAACCCTTATAGATCCCTTATAGATCCCTTATAGAACCCTTATAGCAACCCTTAAAGTACCCTTAAAGGACCCTAAACCCTAAACCCTAAGCCGGGGGCCTTGGGGTTCTGGTGGCTTGCTGTTGAGGCTCGGAGGCTTGGCGCTACACCCTACCTGGACCCTAAGAAACCCAGATTTGCCCAAGGGCCCAGCTACCTAATTGTCATATTATAGCCTCCAAAATATCAGCCTACATAACAACTATCCTTAAGGGCCCAACTACCTAATTATAATATTATAGTCTCCAAAATATCAGCCTACATAGCTACTATATCCTGCACGCCAGTACCTAATTATTGGGTCCTTGGGACCCTTAGAGTTCAGAGGGTTCAGGGTTTAGGGGCTCACCTGGACCCTAGAACACCTACCTTGTTAGGGTTACTTATTATGATTCTGACTAGGATGCCCAGTAGTACCCTTATTCCCTTTTTGTAGTCCTAGGTTCCTTATACAGTTACTCAATACCAAAAAGAGTGGCCTTTTTATTCTTAGGTTACTGGGTATCCTGGCTGATTTCTGTATATCAGTAGACCTGCCCTAAACGCTAGCCGCCTGACCAGTTGGTGGCATTGTTCAATAGGGTTCCTGATCATAGCCCTGCTGTAGTATAGTCCCAAACCCATCTGCATTTATTCAGGCCCTTATATGCCTGAGACCCTCAAGCATGCCTCCGTCTAAGCCCAGGGCTTTTAAGCCCAGCTCAGTTCCCAAAGGGATCTTCCAGAAATCAGGCATTCCATATCTTCCACCATATCTTCCACTGTACCCAATGTTCTTGAAATCAGACTAGGGATCCCACGGCTGATGATCTAAATCCTGCATCACCCATAATAAGGAATACACAGTAATTCCCGAAATCTAGGGTCATTAAGGTAATGCAGGATTCATATCATCAACCGTAGGGATCCCATCATACTTTCAACCTGGACTTCGGGAAAGGGGCACTATAACCCGACGGGTCCAAGTACCTATGCTCTCATAAATATTGAGTTACATAACTACTATCCTAAAGCCAAGTACCTGATTGTTGGGTCCTTTGGACCCTTAGGGTAAGGGTTACCTTAAGGCTCCTGGACCCTTGTAGTGAGATCCCGGACCCTAGCCTCCAAAGGCGAAACCCTCCCCCAGAAAGCCCGCGACCCTCTTAGGAGCCTTAGGGCGGTGAAGAAGCGAGCATAAGGTATACCTTAAACCATCTTAAACTACCTTTCTGAGGACATATACGGACAGGTCTTTCGGGGTCTAAGGGACCATGCGCCCAGACAGTCTACACTTGTGCCCGAAAGTACCTAATTTGAGACTACATTGAGGCCGAAGCGTATGATACATGACTATGTGACAAGGTGGATCCTTAGGGTATAGAGACTAGAAGTCATAATGTGAAGGTTTAGGGCTCAGGGTTTAGGTTCCTCAATCCAGGGGTCTTGGGCTGCCTGGCAAATGTGCAGCTGCAGTGTGAGGGAACCGCATTCTACTCCTGTTCGAAGTATTCAGGCCCGTGCTTCAAGCACGGCTAATGCTTTCAAACCTTCATGGTAAGCCTCTATCTTAGATAGCCAATGGGGGAACTTTAAGCTTTTTGGCCTTATATATTTGGTCTATCTTAGAAAGTTTAAACTTTTTTGGGCCCGGTTATTGAAGGAGAGAGCTATAGAGGCCTTCAAAGGAAGACAATTCTAATGATTCGCTAGATTCAATCCCAGCTTCCAGGTCTTTGTGCGCTCCAGCGCCGCTTTGCGTGTGCTGGCTGTAATGGACCCTCCGTGGAGGCATTCTGGGAACGTCTTAGTCTCATAGGGAGCCTTAGGGGTGTAGGGGGGAGGGGTGTAGGGGACTATATTTCCTTAAATAGGCCTTATTAGTCCTTATTATGGGCCTTAAGGCCCCCTACCCCCCCTCCCCCTTACACCCCTAAGGATCCCTATGATAGTCTGTCCTGTCGAACATCGGGTTTAGGGTGCAGGGCTTCGGGGTTTTGGAGTTTACGGTTGTAGCTTTTAGGGGCTAAGGCCTTTAACACCTCCTGCAAGGGTGTGCGGGTTGTGTTGAGGGTTTCTGTCAACGACGTTCCTGACGAGTTAGCTCCCTAGTCTCAGGGTTGCCCTAAGGCTCCATGTACCCACATAGTATATACTTAGGCCTCAAAGGGGTTCCTATACAGGTACTTTCAGGCCTAAGTATATACTATTAGGCTACATGGAGGCTTAGGGTTGGTAGCCGCAGTTCACATGGGTTCCCCAGCAGTACCCCGCTTGCCCTTTTCATTTTGGGGGTCCCCGTAAACCCTAAACCCTAAAACCCTAAACCCCTAAACCCCTTAACCCTAAACCCTCTAAACCCTAAAATCCTACCTACCTTCATCCCCCCCTTTTGAGGCCTCCGAAAGTCCTGAATACCAGGCCAAAGGGTACCTATAGTCTCCATTGTAGTTCCCTTTTTTGGGGCTACCTTAGTGGGATCCTTAGTTCCTTTTTGGGGTTACCTTAGTAGGATCCTTAGTATATAATTGGCTAAACCCAAAAAAAGGAACTACAATGGAGACTATAGGTACCATTCATTTTCAGGGGGACACTGGGCATTCTCGTCACACAGGAAGCCGGTGCTGCATTGGAGTGCCTGGCAGGATGCCTCGACTTGAGATACATCCACAATTGGAGCTCGACATGCAGTCGGTCATGGCATAATCGTCGCCAGAGGCGTGCAGACAAGCACTTCTGCAGAGACCCCCAAGACTCTAAGCCCTATTATAAGATCATGGGACTTAGTAACTAGGTTATAATTAGGGTAACTATACTTATAACCAGTTATAACCCCATTAAGGTACTTATAACCTTACTTACTAAGTCCCATGATCCTCCAAGTATGTGCCTCTTTGACCCTCCAAACTTATTCAGACACTTCTTCAACCTCGACCCTGCTTGAACTCCTCCACGGTTTTGCCCCAAGCTAAGCAACCTCAGCCAAAAAAGACAGCACTGAACTTTCTAGAAAAAGTATAAAGCACCTATAGTACAATAAGACGACTCATCGTAAGGAACCTGCAACCATAAATCCCTAAACCATAAAGTTTCAGGCAGACGCCGGGGTTGAGGAGTAAAAACTGATGGTCGAGGATGCCAGTGCAGTTGAGCTAGGGCTAATAAGGATTTAGGTGTGTATAGGATTTAAGTTTCAGTGTATAGGGTTTCGGGGCTTCAGGGTTTTAGGGGCCTACGGTTTAGGGTGTAGTTTACCTGTATCCCCAAACCCTAGAAAAGAGTAGGCTTAATCGGAGGACATAACACGTAAAACATAGGTCTTGGGATCTCCAGGTAGGTTTACATGGGTTAAAGTGTGTACTATAAGGCTTCTGGACCCTTGTAGTGCATTGTAGTGAGATCCCCGACCCTGGCCCCCAAAGCCGAAACCCTCCCCCAGAAAGCCCAAGACCCTCTTAGGAGCCTCCCTAAACCCTAAAACCTAAAACCCTAAAACCCTAGGGTCCCCTAAAGGAACCCTTAACCCCAAACCCCTAAACCCCTAACCCCTAAACCCTAAGTCTTTGGAGGGCGTATGAGCTTAGAGGGGCTCTATGGTTCAGAGTTTAGGGTTTAGGGTTGAGGGTTTAGGGTTGAGGGTTTAGGGTTGAGGGTTTAGGGTTGAGGGTTTAGGGTTGAGGGTTTAGGGTTGAGGGTTTAGGGTTGAGGGTTCAGGGTTCAGGGTTTAGGGTTGAGGGTTTAGGGTTGAGGGTTTAGGGTTTAGGGTTGAGGGTTTAGGGTTGAGGGTTTAGGGTTGAGGGTTTAGGGGTTAGGGTTTAGGGTTTAGGGTTTAGGGTTTAGGGTTCAGAGTTACCCTACGGGCCCAAAGGACCTAGTAATCAGGTACCTGGGCTTAGGGTAGTAGCTTTGTAGATACCATTTCGGAGAGTATAGGATTATTAGGTACTTGGACCCTTAGGGTTAGTGCCCAGGTTCAAAGGCAGGTATCATAAGGGCATGAAGTGCTGCGAGCTTCATTATTGGCTTCTTCAATGCCTAAACCCTAAACCCTCAACCCTAAACCCTAAACCCTAAACCCTCAACCCTCAACCCTAAACCCTAAACCCTAAACCCTATTCAAGCTTCAGGGGTCGATGTTCTTATAGCCACAGAAAGGCTCAAAAACCTGAGCCTAAGCTCTACCAGGCCCTACCAGGACCCCCCAACAACCCTCTAATAGACCCTAACCTAGAGGCTCCATATATACTACCATTATGGAATTAGGCCCCAAAAGACCATCCTCATTATGGCTTTGGGGTCTTAAATCCATAATAGTAGTATATATGGAGCCTCTGGGTAAATACCCCTTGTTCAAAGAGCTCCAGTAAAGGGCCATTGGGGGGGTCCTGGTAAACCCAAACCTTGGACTCTGGGCCCAGAGCAAGGTGATGGGCCTGGGCTGCCATGCATCTTAGGGTTTAAGGTTTAGGTTTAGGGTTTAGGGTTTTAGGGTTCAGGTTTAGAGTTTAGGGCTTATTAAGGTTTAGGGGTTTAGGGTTTGAGGTTTAGGGGTTTAGGGTTTAGCGGGGTAGGAATTGGTAGGAAGCCCCTTAAATACGGGACAAGGGCTGGGGGTTTATAGCTGAGTAGTCTCAGATTTATGAATTCAGGAGTCTGGGATTTTCTACAAGTGTCTTACGGATTCTTTGCGTGTGCCTCTTTGTCCAGCTGATGGTTTCTTTGTGTTCTTGTTTGGGTCTCCAATAATTAGACCTTTGCATCGGAACGTCATATCCCATATAGCCCAAGGTACTGATATGGCGGATATTCCCCCAAATCATAATCATGACCTAGAGTATAGAGACCCTACATTCTACTACGTTTTTTACTTTGGCCCTGTGGGTATTCAGGGTTCCAGGCTGTTTGCGATCTTCTACCTGATTCCGACGCCGCTGCGTGACTTCGTGCTCGGCAGCCCAGGACGATGTGGGTAGTTGAGGGTGCCGTACTTTTTGGGGAACCTTAAAAAGGGACCCTAATTTAGAGAAGTATGTGGATGCCGGATTGTCTCGGGCTTATTTGCGGGTGAGGTTTGAGGCCTGTGCGGTGTATATACTCAAAAGTCAATATATACTAGGCTATGCACATACGCACTACTTCCGAAAATGCCAGCATGATTCTGTTTTGCCGGACCATCATAGGCACACTCTGCGCGGGAGCCTAAATCCCGTCATCTCTACACGCTAACCTCTAAGCCCCAAAACCTCGGCTTATCATGGGCTCCTTTGCTGTGGTCCGAGTCACAGAAGGCGAAAAAGTGATGACATCTGTGATAAATGAGAGCCGTGGTTTGGGAGATGCGTGTCTGCATGACAGCTCAGATTCCACCAAGCAATGTAATTAGAATCTACTCCTGAAATGCATGATAGTACTGTATGGACCGTATTACAAATTGAAGGCATATTCCTTGATTGAAGGGTTCTGGGAATCTGGAAGATCTAGATGTTTTGAGGCCACGGGCTTTCAATTGGCTCAAGACTGGAACCTAAAATATTTTGGTGTTGAATGTTAGGGTCTGCTTCCTTGTGGTACCTACGTCTGCAAGGGGGATGCCTAAACCCTAAACCCTAAACCCAGGCCCCAAAACTGTGCCCCTCCAAGGTACCGCGTGGTGGGGCACAACAGATACGCCATCTTCGGCCGGAAGGACCGGCATCAGGGTTCAGGGATCCCAAAGGGTCCTATATGTACCGTTAGGGGGGGGAAGTCATACTAATAGTAATTCCCAATATGGAAACCCTACATTCTACTATATCAGTACATAGGACCCTTTGGGGATCAGGGTCGCTGCGTAGAGTCATAACGGGTGATGGGGATTCTTTCGGATGCTACGGTTGATGATATAAATCCTGCATTACCCACAGTAAGGAATATGTACCATTATTCCCATAGTTTAGGGTCCCGAAGGTAGTGCAGGATTTATATCATCAACCGTATTATACAGTTATGTCGGCTACCCATATGCACCTTCTTGGAAGAGACACGCCAGCACCAAGCCGCAGCCTTGTTGCTGCAGCTTCAATGAGAAGAGAACGAGAGTAGAAGAACCAAGGCTCTGCTCTCGGACTCTGCGGGCTTCAAGGAGCCAGAGCGTGCCGCGGCCTTGGGACAGAAATACGAAATATGATTGATGTGAAAATGCTGCACCAGGGCGTGAAGCGCCGTGCTGCGGATTCATATCTGAATCAAACGGGCTTGCAAGTACCACTCAAGTTGTTGCCCCGTGAGCTCTGCATTACAAGCCTGGTCTCGCTCGCGACTTGTGATGTATGCCTGATTGGCCAAAGTCTCCTGTGCATGCACTGTGTCTAAGCTAAATCGCAGAGTTAGAAGTCACAGATAAGTTATTCAGTTGTTGATTGCTTTTCACTTGCAAACCCTAGCCGCCCTAACCCTAATTCCAAAATCCTAAGGCCTCACTTGGGATTCTCACCCTGATCATGAATTCCAAAATCCTGAGCCCTCACAAGTATCATTTCACGGGATCACGTACCAGCCCCTATAGATCTTTCAAGCAGCCCTCACCACGGACTCCCAATCCCTCAGCCTACCTCCCTAAATGAGCCCTTACCTTCAACAGCTAAACCCTAAAACACGTTTGTCCATAGAGTGTATATATATATATATATATCTATATATACATACACATAGAACCTTCGTAATTAACGCCTGATAGCGAAGCCTTTAACGCAACCATTGAGGCCCTCCAACATGCTAATACTAACCGACACAATCCAAACGCGAGTACCTACTTAAAGTAGTAAGGTGGGAGGGAGGCTCAGGGGGTTTAGGGGTTTTAGGATGTAGGGGTTTACCCTAAGGGTCCAAAGGACCCAATAATCAGGTACTTGGGTTTAGGATAGTAGTTATGTAGCTCAATATCTGGCCCTTTAATGGAGCTCTTATGGTCCTGAATAGTGGGTATTTAGGGTATATTAGAGGGTAGTTGGGGGGTCCTGGTACTTCAGGTAGTAAGGTATAGTGCTGGTGGGCAGGAGCAGTGCATGACCCCCAGTGGCGACTTCAAAAGGAGGCCTGATGGGACCCCACGCGATGCGGCCTGTTTTTGCTCGGCAGAGTAGGGGCACTTAGATTCGGGCTTTCCTGTTCACCTTAAACCTCGAACCCCTCATCAGGTTCGTAAGGACCCCGCAACAGACGCAGATCTGGTTCCGGCCTTCTGCAAGAACAAAGGGTTTCTTTACGGATTCCTTACAGGAGCGGATTCGCGGCCTAGAATCTGCAAGAGGGTCAGGGCGTTGGAATTCAGGGTTTAAGGCTTGGGATTAGGGTTTTCGGAAGCCCTCGACCCCAAACCCTAAACCCCTCTCTTTCTTGCTTTCTCGCCTTCCCGACCTACCTTTTCAGGGTTCCTTATTATGATTTCCTTATATAAGTCCTTAACAAGGTAGGTTATTCCGGCTTAAGGTAAGCATCCATCCCTTGTGGCTGTCGGCAGCGGATAGGTTCCTGGAATACAATGCAGCGGATGAGGAGGAAGTCCATCCCATCTTCAAGTGAAGAGTTGGGTTTACCTAGAGTCTCCATTGTAGTTCCTGTTTGTGGTTAACGAGCTTTATGGCTAGGATCCTATAATCACGATACAACGGAGACTATAGATAGGGTTCAGTGTAGTTCAGCGTTTGGGTTTCGGGCTTAGGATTTCTTGACTGGGCCCGGCCCTAAAATCCATTCATAAGCTTGCGAGATCTTTCTTGAACATACAACTTGCCATTGTATCGTAGAGTAGTTAGCCGGTCAAGGCCGGAACTATACACTCTGTTACCCGACTGCTTAAAAATCACCGCGAACCCTTCAAGGCTTGTAACCCTCAGACACATAACAGTTAAGAAGACAGGGCTGTTTGAGCAAAGATTCGGTCAACATGGTCCTATGGAGGTGACGAACAACCTAAAGAAATGCGACAGGAAATGACACAGAATAAGATATGCTTCTTTTTCCGTTGACTACATTGGTTTCTCCAGGTGAAGTCTTAGATCAACGGCTTAGCTGCGCTTTGTGACCGTTTGCCTTGGTTGCTCGAAGTGCAGGGGTTGAGTCGTATCATATAGGAGCCTAAACAATGAGAGAATGGGGCTTTGGGGCCCATATTGCTATATTCATAATCAGGAACCACCAAAATAGTATGGGTGAATAGTTGCCCCGATCTTCGCCCCCCATAGCCCAGGCGAACCCCAGGCCGAGTCGCAAGAAAGTAAACAAATTCCAAGCCGAAGCCCACAGATCCCCTGCTTTGGAAATGTGGTACCTTGATTTAGGGTTTAGGGTTTAGGGTTTAGGGTAGTAGAGTAGGTAACCTTTGACCTTTTTGGGGTAGTATAGTCCCTATATAATCCCTATATAGCCAAAAAAGGTTGACCTTTAGTTCTTCATGATACCCGACAAGTACGTAAATCACTCCAGATTTAGTGTATTTTTAAGGGTTTTCTTGGGTTCAGAGGTTGTAGTTCAGATTGAAGGGGCTTCCTGAAACCCAGCTAATGATCAGACCCCCCCCCACTTCACAGAGTACCTCACACCGGAGTTGCATGCTCAGTGAGCCAGTCGGCGAAAGACCTCGAACGAGTGATGGGGGGGCAGTTTTCAGCTCGACGGTTCCGGGGTTCAACCTGAATATGGTCCTTCCGAGTCCCGCGACCGCTGGGCTTCTTAGCAGTGGTACCCCAGACCCAGAACTGCAAATTCAACCTATAAACCCTATATCCAGCCGTATCCTATTATGGGCTAAAAAATAGGGCGGCTTGCCACACGGGTTCACCATTTCCGGGATCTGTAAAATTACTGTCCGGTTACAAGCACCATGCCCGCGCTGCACTGATTTCAACTCCCCAAAGTGGGTTTCTGTCAAAGTCATGGTCCCTTTGGGGAACCCTATACAGTTCTACTCTTAACACAGCACCCTATAGGCTGGAAGAGACCCTAATTTGGACAACCACCCACATGAAAACTGCCCGCGTCGCTCACTGCTGCACGTCGCAGACAAAAAGAACGGAAGCCATCCTGTGGCTTTGCCATTTGTTTGAGGGTTTCCTGGTTGCCCCCTTAATTAGGGTTCCATAAAGGTCGTATGAAAGAGTTAGGGCAGCAGGTTTTGGCGATTAGCGCCTAAGGGGGCTCTAGGGCTTTGGTGTGTAGTCTCGAAGGAAACATGACAGGGCCTTTGTTTGTGAGACGCTGGATGCAGGGTTTCGGATTTGGGTTTTGCGAAATAAGGGCCTCGGCTCCAGGCGATGTTTTCGTTTTTGACTCGCAGGGTTGCATTTGCAGTTGAGCATGCGACCGTTATTTATTGGGACGGGAAATTCAGCACCTTCATCTGGAGTGAGAAGGAGATGCAATGTAGGGGCCTTAGTACTTACCTATACTATTTTGAGGGTTCCTTTTTATGATGATAGTATAATGGGCCCCAAGACCCTATTCTAATTTTTAAGGCCCTTATAGTATCGTATTGTAGTTGAGGCTGCTTACCTGCAATGCACCCTGCCCTAAGGCACCCATGTAATGTAGAGGCCTTAATAATTAGAATAGGGTTTTGGGGTTTCCTTATTTGTAGTTCTAGTCTAGCATAATATACCCCCCAACCACATTCTAATTATCAAGGCCCCTACGGTAGAATTTGGGGTTTAGGGTTTTGGGGTTTGGGGTGTTTGGCTTTGGTTTCGAGTTTCCTTTTCCTTGGGTTGAACCTCTGAGCCTAGAACTGTATAGGCACACGAACCGACTATACATGTGCCGTTGCCTACTAAACCTACTTTGTTTCGGGGCCCCAGAACACCCTAAACTCTAAACCAAACGTTTTTTGCAAGCTAAACTGCAGAAAAGTAAGGTAGACCCTGACCCCGTAGACCTTCAACCCGATTCGGCAGGAGATTCTTTGGTCCTCCTTGGCTGACTTTTCCCCTGAGTCCCAAGACCCTAAGCCCTAAGTTCCTGTAATAGAGACCTGAAGGGTCCAAGTACCCAATTGTCACATACTCTCAAAAACAGTAACCTACTTACCGGGTATCCCAAACCCGAGTGCCTAACTATTGGGTCCTTTGGACCTTTTAGGAGAGGATGAAATACTGTAATACTAGTATCACTTAACAAAAGCCCGCAACATGAACAGTTCATCCTGCCTGCCTCTACAGGAGTGTCTGCCGGCCATGGCCTATAGCAGGGTCCCAAACAGAATTTCATGCGACCGACAAGGGACGTTGCACAAAGGCCTTCCCTTTTACGGGCGAGCAGAGAGCCATCGTGCAAGCCCCAAGTTCATCACATCGCAACCTCAAATGCTGAGACTTAACACCCCTGGGAGAAGAGCGGCTTAGGAATCAGGCCGGGACAGTACCGTCGATTGGACACAGCTTTGCATGGCTGCGGCACCTCCGGTCTCCGCAGATCTCCGTCTACGTGGCCCGTCATGAGAAGTCGCATGAGTCGCTTCCTTCATTGCTCGGAATAGTATATACAGCAGGAGCAGTAGCTGCAGCAGTAGGAACAGCAATAGCAGTCATCTCATCGTGGTGGTGGTGATCTAGTCGGGCAGGCAGTCAGTCAGTTACTTAGTGAGTTAATCCTTTCCCCCGAACTTTAAAAATAAGGGGCCCTAATATAGTGCCTCTAAATAGTAGGATCCTTATTATAGGGATCTGATATAGTACCTCTATAAATTCCCGCCCTCCCCCTAATGTAGAAATTGATTTCGGAGGGCCTAGGTTGTGTATTTGGAGCGGCTTGGGGTTCGGGGCCTCCGTGGATGAGTCGGATTGACAGCAACACTTAAAGTATCATGGGACTTAGTAACTAGGGTTATAATTAGGGTAACTATACTTATAACTACTTATAACCCCAATTAAGGTACTTATAACCTTACTTACTAAGTCCCACGATCTTCCAAGTAATGATGACACAGTCAGACAGTGACAAGTAATTAAACAACGACCGTTTCCTACGCAGCCGTTCTCTAAACCTTGAGCCCTAAACCCTAAAGGCCTAAGCCCAAAAGCCCTAAGCTCGAGACCTTCGATCAGCCCTAAGCCCCTAAACCCTAAAGTTTAGGATTTAGGGGCTTAGGGCTTAGGGCTGAGACCCCTAAAGCTCTGCTCCTTTCTGATGAGTACTGCTGTAGTCTTGGCTCTATTAAACTAATACAATCCTTGGCCCCTCCTAATGTTGTTTACCGCGAGATTCCGGTGGCCGGGAGTTTTATGTGGGGGGTCACTGTTAGGGGGAAGGGATTAGTTAGTTAGTTAGTTAGCTAGCTAGTTAGTTAGTTAGCTAGGCGCTTAGTTAATTAGTTAGTTAACTGGCTGGTTGGTTAGTTATTTGGTTAGTGTAAACTTAGTTAACTTGCTTGTGGTTATGTGTCTGTTTATTTGTTTGTTTATTTGTGTGTTTGTTTGCTTGCTTGTTTGTTGATCGTGACATAGTCACACAATTGCCGGGCTATGATCACTGTAGCACAGACTACGCAAAGCGTAAAGTGAACATCACAATGCTTGTTGGTTGATTTGTTGTTTGTCCCTTCCCTAGAGGCTCCATATATACTACCATTATGGAATTAGGCCCCAAAAGACCATCCTCATTATGGCTTTGGGGGCTTAAATCCATAATAGTAGTATATATGGAGCCTCTGGGTTCTTCAGACATGGCAGATCGACTCCAGCCTTTCGAGGAGGCCTCACGTCACGTTTTCGGACGGAGACCCGGGAGTGCCATCCTGGAAAAGCCAACCCCACAGGGTCCAAAGTACCTTTATGGTAGAATGTAGGGTTTCTATATTAGGAATTACTATTATGATTTGGGGAAGTGTTCCACATAACAGTACCTAGGACCCTTTGGGACAACTTGTCAGGACAGGGCTTCTGATTCTAGGTCTTGGTCTTGCAGTTTGGGAGGCAGGATCCTTGTGGTTTGTGTCAACCCTACCCAGAGTCAGAACACAAAGGTCGGAACCTTCCTCCCTTCATCCTACACCCCCTAGCTGTAATGAGAACACGATTGAGATCTCCCTCTAGTCTCCAATGCAGTTCCACATTTTGGCGAACCAGTCTCTATGCTGTTCAATGTGTTGTCTAGGTAGTGCATCCTTCAAGATGTAGGTGATGGACCTGTAGAGCCCCTGGAATCAATGCACCCGGCATCTGATTCCTGCAGCATTCTAAACGTTTTACAACTATATGTCCAAATCCTAAATCCGTCAAGCCAAACCAAACTTATGAATTTTGATTTACACGATATATGGGAGTTTACGAAAATAGGGGACCCTGATCTAGTACCCTAAGTAGTAGGATCCGTATTATAAGGACTCCGAAATAAGGTACCCCTAATTTTCGGAAACTCCCATATGGAAAGCAAGCCACTACAAAACACTATAGCCCAAAGGGTCCAAAGTACCTTTATGGTAGCATGTAGGGTTTCTATATTAGGAATTACTATTATGATTTGGGGAAGTGTTCCCCATAACTAACAGTACCTAGGACCCTTTGGGTAGAGCCCGGAAGCTCCAGCCCCTC